GGATTTAGAAACTACAGCATTTGTGTGGACAACACTTGGTTACCTTAGAGTGTGACCTCTTTTTCTGTCATTACAACCAAAAATAAAAAGTATTCTTGGAAGACTTAACATCAAGAACCTTAAAACTGAAGTATAAAAGACCCCTGCAAAGAATGACATCCAGGAAATTAGTCAAACAAGGAGTAAAAGCTAGACAGAAGTGTTTACCCTGCAAATATTAATTTATTGGCTGTAAATATATTCAATGATTTTACAGTCTAATGTGGCTGTGTCTCATACACTAATAAATGTGTTTGATTAGAGTCAATATGCAGTGCTGAAAGTGAGTTTCCCATGGCACAGCTTTGCCAGATGACAGAGTTATTACTCCATCTCTCAGCTCAGGAAATCACACAGCCAGTTAACTGACCTCAATCTTATCCATTTCACCTGCCTTTAAACTTCACTGAAATGCTATGTGAAGTTATTAATTGCATTTTTTAATGCAATGAGAAGTAAATGATGATAAAACAATGAAAACTGGTCTGTCTGTAATTAACAGAGCCTATCCAGCATGTCACTGAACAGCACACTGTGCTTGTACAAACTCCTCTTCTGCCTGTGCCCCACCAGTGCCTATTTAGTCTGCTCTTTTTTTTACTTTTTCTGCTAAGCAATGTAGTAATTGCATCATCTGCTCACTAGACATAAATAAATTCACTGTGTATTGGGGAAATGAAATGATCTTTAAAAACTGTTAACCAGACTTAGAAAATTTTGAGAAGCAGTGCAAAGTAAATGAAGCGTGTTTATGCTTGAAGCTCAACAGACTGTCCAGGACACTAGAAAATTTGGGGAGTTTGATAATTTTTTCTCAATGTGGAAAATGAAATGTTTGTTTGTTGTTCAAATGTTCCTGTCTTGCTAAGAGGAAAATAAATTGCTTTTCATATTGCTGCCAAGAAACCAGAAAAATAACAAGTTCATAATTTCAGGATATATTTCCTCCTGTGCTTCTTCCACCCAGATACATAACAGATTTGTGGAAATTGTCAAAAAGTCCTTCTCATGTAGCTTCCTGCATCTTTAGGAATAAGATAAGCTGTAAGGGATGAAAAGCTCTACTAGAAGTTTACCATTGCAACTATCCCATTTCAACTATTCATCTGGCTGTGACACAAATGGGCCTTTACAGTAGAAATGAAAAATGTATTTCTTCAGACTTTTCCAAAACAGACACTGCTGCAAAACACATGGAATAAAATTTATTGTCTAAGAGAATATCACCACAGGGTCACACAAATCTCATGTAAGCCTGAATATCTGACCAAATGTCATAAAATTGGGGTACACCTGAATGGGTTTTGAAAATTATGCATGACAGTCCACATTTTATCACATATATAGTTTAAATTTTTAGTCCAGGTTAGGAACACCAAGACCTGATTCTGTATAAGCACTCAGTACATGCTCATACAAACTGTTGCCCATACCATTCTTCAAAGAAAGAAACCTGAAAGAAGCAAATAATGAGTATTATTTATATCATAATTATAATACAAAATTTAAACAAGCCCACAGAAATGGCTTCTCTCACTGAGGAGCTGGGCAGATGAATTGGCATCAAAACACTGCCAGCTCTCCTATGTGGGCTTTCTATTTGTACTCTGTTTTGGTTTTGCAAACAGCTGTAATAGTCTGTGCTGTGTGCACAAAGCTGCAATTTTTAATGACAAACAAATCATAAGGAAATATTTAAACAGTACAGAAAGTGTGAATTGAAAACTCTGAGCAGTACTGATGTGTGTGCACATGCATGAATTCAGATAAATGCACATCAAAAATAAACAAACCCAACCAGGCAGCACTACCATGGTGACCTTTCTGTTAGTAGAAGTTCAAGCTCTGTGGTTTATTCTGTGTTTTAGCACTTTTGCAGCCATATCATCAAAAACTGTGAGTCACCCATGTTTGCAGAGGAAAATGTGTGAGAACACCTTCTTGCCACGTTACATGGGAGAGTTGTGGACATACTGACACATCCTGTTGACTGAAGCTGATCTCCCTCTCTGCCCTTTCTTCCTTCTGTATAACTAACATGATTCAAAGTCATAAAAATGCATAAAATGCACATCTTAATTTTTTTTTTCCCTTTAGATGCAGAAATTTATTTTTCTTTACTGGCCATGTTTAATATTCACGTTGCAGACACAACGTCAGAAAAGGACAAAGAAAAGTTCCTGGCACTTGACAGAACAGAGAGAGCCACTGTGTGGGTGTGTGCAAAGACCAGATCATGTTCATAGCTGACATGGGCCAGTTGTTTGCTTTATTCTTGTTTCTTCTGAAGAAGAAACCCCACAGATTTCAACATGCACTTCAATGTAAAAATTTGAAACTTCACTTAAAACCCTTATCCCTGTAATGCAAATCAGTTGCAACTATGTCATAAGGTTGAAGTCAGGAACAAATAATTCTCATGAAACTGTTTGGGTAAAGTATACAGCCTGAGGTGCTGCTGTGATTTTTGGGAAATGCAAAATCACTTGTTGGAAAATGTAAGATGGAAAATCACAGAGGTATTCTTTCAGAACAGTTCTAGATTTCTACATATACAGGATGTGTAGTCTTGCTCTGAGATATTGTTGATGTTAGAGGACAGATTTTGCCTGGAGAACAGGTGGCTATAGGCATTTGAGAGAAAGGAGTTAAATTTTTAGTTTTGCTTAATTAAAACCTATTTTTTCTAACCCTTCTCTAGCATATTGTGAGTGGAAAGTTATCTGCAAGCATCTTCAAGGATGTCCAAAGACATCCAAACTCAGGTTTAATTTTGGGAATCCACAATCAGGGTCTTCTACAGAGAACACTGCACCCTGGGGTCCATCAGCATTATTCATGCACAATGAAGAGTGAATGAATAGTGAATGGCCTAGTTTTGATGGGTTCCCCCAAACAATTTGCTCAGAGTGTGTCCATTCTGTAAACTCCACGTGTCACTCACCTCAAATGAGCTCCTCCAGGTCTGGTGCAGACACCTGGAGCTGACAGAGACCAAGTTACCCTGTTCTTGGCCAGAAAGCAGAACTTGTTCAAAACTCAGCATGGCTGTAGCTGATGAGCCTCCTCCAGCTGTGTTCCCACTGTCCAGGTGCCTCCCAGCTCCCAGCACAGACCCTCGAGCAGCTCTGCTCTGGGTAGGTGTGAGCCCAGCCAGTTTGGTGTCTAATGATGCAGGACCTTGGTTTACAGGCAAGCCACAAAGTCCATCAAAGGCCACAGGGCGACACAAGACTTGAGAGTGACCTTTTGTTTTCAGTAGAAGTCATTTTATTGCAAAATCTGTACTGCATAAAGTAAATAGCAAGTTATCTTACTGCAGATGAAGATGGATTTTGATACTGGCTGTTTGCTCAAGTATCACAGAATCACAGAATTTCTAGGTTGGAAGAGCCCTTTAAGATCATCGAGTCCAACCCATGTTCTAACACCTCAGCTAGATCATGGCACCAAGTGCCACATCCAGTCTTTTTTTAAACACATCGAGGGATGGAGACTCCACCACCTCCCTGGGTAGATGGTTCCAGTATTTGACCACTCTTTCTGTGAAAAACTTCCTCCTTAATTCTAGCCTGTATCTCCCTTGGCGCAGCTTGAGACTGTGTCCTCTTGTTCTGTCTGTTGTTGCCCGGAGAAAGAGACCGACCCCCAGCTCACCACAGTCACCCTTCAGGAAGTTGAAGAGAGTGACAAGGTCACCTCTGAGTCTCCTTTTCTCCAGGCTGAACAACCCCAGCTCCCTCAGTCGTTCTTCATACAGCTTGTGTTCCAATCCCCTCACCAGCCTCGTTGCTCTCCTTTGGACACGCTCAAGCATCTCAACGTCCCTCCTGAACTGAGGGGCCCAGAACTGGACGCAGCACTCAAAGTGTGGCCTCACCAGTGCCGAGTACAGGGGAAGAATGACCTCCCTGCTCCTGCTGGCCACACTATTCTTGATACAGGCCAGGATGCCCTTGGCCTTCTTGGCCACCTGGGCACACTGCTGGCTCATGTTCAGCCGACTGTCAACCAGCACCCCCAGGTCCCTTTCCTCCTGAGCACTGTCCAGCCACACCGTCCCCAGCCTATAACGCTGCAGGGGGTTATTGTGGCCAAAGAGCAGGACTCGGCACTTGGACTTATTGAACTTCATCCCATTCGATTCTGCCCATCCATCCAACCGTTCCAAGTCCCTCTGCAAAGCCCTCCGTCCCTCTATCACATTTATTGCTTCAGTCAGATATCTCTACCTGAGCAAGTTTTTTGTGGAGCAGCTCTGCAAGGCTCCCTTTGCTGGCCCTGGGCAGATGCAGGGCTCCTTTTGCTGCCTGTGGAGAGATGATGGTTCTTAAGACCTGTTTGAGACATCCCCTATGGACTGAGCACAAGTCCAGGAGGACTGTGCTAGCTGTCTGCATGGCAGATCTCTGCTTTCCATCCAGAGAATCCCACCCCAAATGTGTGCTAGTGATTTATGTGGTTTGTAACAAGATCCTCAGTGTGGCAGGAGGGCAGTCCAAGCCTGCAGCCCCTCACAGTCCCTAACTGGTGGTGAGGGGAGGTGAGATGCTCATCTTCCTCCTGAAGAGGAGGCTGATACTGCACCAAAACTGGGCTGCCAACACTCTGCTACCAAGGGATATCTGAAAGAACAAATCTTGAGCAAACAGCCAATAACAAAATCTGGTTTTTGTGTGTTAGTCACACTGTGTACCTTGAAGGAGAGGCTGGTTTCTACTGGTGAGCAACTGGTTGTACCAGTCACACCAGGACAATAAACCTTTAGTTTTGCAAAGGTGTTGGCATGGAGGTGTGTACTCCAGATACAGGTGTTTGCTAATGGAGAGCTGTCCCCTGGGGGTGCAGCCACTGATTGGAGGGGACAGATGCATAAAGAAGCCCAGAAGCAGAGCAGGCTCCATCCTCAAGAGAGCCCTGGGGCTGTGCCTGCTCAGGAGAAACCAGGCTCCAGAAGCAACATGTCTCAGCTGGAAACTGCAATGGGAATGATCATTGCTGTCTTTGACCAGTATGCAAGGACTGATGGCAACAGGCAAACCCTCAGCAAAGCAGAACTAAAGACTCTGCTGGAAAAGGAGCTCCCAAATTTCCTCGCGGTAAGAGAACAGCGCGGCACCGTTTCTGTGTCGCAGGTGCAAGAGCAGCCTGCAGAAACTGTTTTTAGTATGTTTTAGGAACATTATACCCAAAAATATGCAATGGATTGTAGGAAAATATGAAATTTAAAAAAGGTTTTGCACAAACTCTGTAAAACTGGTTTAATATGCAGAGCAATTCCCTATTTGCTAAATTCATCACTTGAGATATCAGGACAATGGATTTGAAAGAGATTTGGTTTCAACTTCAGAATTCACTTACTTCTGTTTATCCTTGGATTTATCATCTCACTTCATGTCACAACTTCTGTGAAGCTAGTTGTGCTGTCAGCAGTTGAGGATCTTGATTGCAGATGAGGAATCTCTCTAAATATTTATACATTTATCTTCTCTAGTTATTTATACTGCATACTCAGTATGCTCATCAAAATGATGCATAAACCAGAACAACAGATGAACTCAAAGCAAACTGTTTGGCATTTGTCTTTAACAGCAAAAGAAAGACCTGGATATATATTGTACAACATAGATTTGTATGTAATCATAAAGTGCATTTCAGTAGGTATTCAAAGTGCTTAATATGTTCTAGTAAAAGCTTTAGCCACCAGGGAGAGACTTTCAATTGTTTTTTTTAAATTTGTTTCCCTTCACTAAAAATCCATAAAAGACTTTTAAATACATTGTTCTTTCCACATTGGAGTAATATTTGTACTGTTTTGTTACTGTTCCAAATGTTACTGTTTTGTTGCTGTTCGAAATGGCAAAAGTCTAGAACCAAATGCTCCTTGTGAGGATCTCAGTTTTTTATATCCAGCATTGTTCAGTTTTATAACAACTATTTCAGGGCACTGCAGCCAGGGCACTTGATACATTTCAGTATCTTTCCATGTAAACTTAATTCACCACATGAAATCCACACCTGCTGGAGTTATGTCTCACAAATTAAAGAGATGCAATATTCAGAATGAGGACCTGGGTGGCTCAGGGGGGATATATTCCAATGATTCTGAGAAATCTGTGTGAGACAGATGAGTACTCAAGACCCAACAGCATCACAGAAGGGTCCTGCTCCTGAACATGGAGCTGTGTGGTACCCACAGCACTTCCATGTAAAAAGAAACTAAACCAACAACAAAACCATAATTCTGGGATGGCATGGAAATCCCAGACACTGGCATTTGGTCTAAATAAGGCTGGGGAGGCACTGCAGTAAGCAGATAGCAAATGGGATGGTGCTCACAGGTCTGTCCTGACTGTGTCTGGTGGCCTGGCCCCTCTTCTCCCAGTGCCCCACAGCTGCTCTAACTGGCTCTAGCTATTTCCTGCAAATGGTGCAAAACCTGGAATTTTCAAGGAAGATAATTAGCTAATGGTCCTCTTATATTCCAGTCTCTATCTCCCTTTTCTGCTTTACATCTTCTAGCAAAAACAAAACCAAAAAAAATGATAACAATCCGCTCCCCCCGCATTTTTATGCCAATATTTTAAACAAATTTAAACCAATAATATTCCTTGTTCCTGTCTTGCCAAACTGATAATTGCAAGGAAAAAACCTGAGAATATAAGTCTGACTTCAGAAAAAAAGTTCTACCTGCATTTCCCTGCCATTTATATCTGTATTTTTTCATTTGCTAGAAAATCTAGGGAACAGTGTTTTCTAATTTCTTGTGTTTGCTTATGGCCTTAGAACTGGTTATAGCTGACACAGATCACAACTTCCTGGAAAGGTCTTGAGTCAATCAGGCATAAATATCACAGGACTGAAGGACTGGACTCAGTTATAAAGAATTTCCAAAAAGCAATTTCCATTTTTGCATCTCAGAAGTAATTCACATGCTACAACTTGTTCATATAGTTCACTAAATGATTTGAAATATTCATTTATAAAATTAAACCCATTTAATTTACGAATTGAAAATTAATTAAACATTCCACATGAATTAATCTGTCAAATCTAAGGAAATTGTTCCATTTTTAGTGATTTTAAAAGGTCTGCATTTTAAGTGAAACATTAAATTACAGGATGAAAAATTTTGTTAATTAGAACATGATCAAAAAATGCCTTCAGATTTAAATTCGGGTATTAATAGTTTTAAATTGGTGGAAAATTTTCAGAAGTTGTTATCATTTCTTTCTAGTGTTATATCAGGGTTTTTTCCATTTTCTATGCAAGCCACACGATTGTTTCCTAGCTTTAACAGGTCTGTACTGCCATCTCCTGCTGAATATTAAAATTGCAACTCCGAAAATCCCTGTAAATTACCAGCGCCAAAAAATCCTCCTGTAAGCTTCTTTACTTTTTAATATATTTTGGCATAATGAAAAAAAAAAAAACCCAAAACCAAAAACCACAAACAAACAAACGCTTTTAAATTTGATTATGCGTTTGTTAATATCAGTGTTGAAATGTAGTGGTTCAGAGAGTCACAGAAGCACAAAATACAGAAGCACAAAATATGTTGAGTTGGAAGGGACTCACAAAGATCATTGGGTCGAAGCTCTGGCCCTACACAGGACACCCCGAGTGTCACCCTGTGGGCACAAGAGCATTGGCCAAAGCTTCTTGAGCTCTGTCAGGCTGTGCTGTGACCCCTTCCCTGGGGAGCTGTTCCAGTGCCCAACCACCCTCTGGTGAAGAACCTTTCCCTGAAACCAAACCTAAACCTCCCTGACACAGCTTCAGGCCATTCCCTGGGCTCCTGTCAGTGTCACCACAGAGCAGAGATCAGTGTCTGCCCTTCCTCCTCCCCTCACGAGGAGTTTGTAACTGCACTGAGGCCTCCCCTCAGTCTCCTCCAGGCAGACCAGACCCAGTGACCGCAGTCACCCCTCACAGAGCTTCCCCTCAAGGCCCTTCACCCATCCAGGGTTGTCCCATCCCAGGTACAGAATTCAGAACTTTTCTTAGTTCCTTTCATATGGTTGGTGATTGCCCAGCCCTCTCATTTGTTGAGGTGTCTCCGCAAGGCCTCCCTGCCATCAACAGAGCCAGCAGCTCCTCTCAGTTTTGAATCATCTGCAAACTTGCTCAATATCCCTTCCAGTCCCATGTCCAAGTCATTTATGAAGATGTTGAAGAGCACAGGGACAAGGATGGAGCTCTGTGGAACCCCACTAGTGACAGGTCCCCGGTCTGATGTCCCCTCATCATGCCCCAGCCATGAACCATGAGTTGCTCAGCCATCCCATCATGTGTTGATCCAGCTGTGTGCTGGACATTTTGTGCAGAAGGATCCTGTGAGAGACAGTATTGAAAGCTTTACTGAAATCCAAAAAGAAGACATCAACTGGCTTCCCTTGATCAGCTAAGGGGGTTACTATATCATAAAAGGGAATCAGGTTTGCTAAGCAGGACTTTCCTCTCATGAAGCCATGCTGGCTGTGACTGATGACACTGCTCAGTCATTCCATCAGAATAATGGCAACTCAGAAGAATAATGACAACTTAGAAGAAGATTTGCTGTGGTAACTCAAGCTCAGAATCCCACAGGCTTCAGGAGGCACCTTCCCAGCCACCAGCTCCTGTGAGCAGCTTCTGCTGAGCCATAAGGCCAGTGGCAGCACTCAAAGCACTTTTGAGGTGGTTGGCATATTTTCTAGGGTGGAAGTATTCAATGAAGTTTAAATTTTACATTTGCCCCAGGAAAGCATCTTTTTACAAAACTGCAAACTGCTTGTGCTCCAGCTGAGCCTTTCCAGGGGAATGGATGGGGAACTTATAGCATTTAATTCATCTGAGTATTGTACCTCAGTGCTTGGTGCTACACAGTTTTAATGGTGATAAATGTTGTTTTAAATGTAGCAACCATGCCTCTCTGTGACAGTACTTGACTGCAGCTCTCAGGTGTAATAAACCCAGAGAAAAATGCTTTTGGTACTCACTGCTGCTGTGCAGACAGTGGGAGCACATGGCACCTTACCAAGTGCCCAGAGCCCAACCAAGGACCTTGTCTGGAGAAGTTGCTGCATTGGGGTTGTGCATCCTCTCACCTAAACCTGCTCTTTTTCTTTTGCAGACTGGGAAGGACAAGAATGCTATTGACAAAGTCTTCAAGAACCTGGATGAAAATGGAGATTCCCAAGTGGACTTCAAAGAATTTGTTATCTTCGTGGCAGCTCTGACTGGCTGCTGTCACAAATATTTTGAGCAGAATGCAGCCAAATAGCTGTCAAATACTCACAAAAGCTGTCTTTGCATGTGCTCCATATGCCAGTGATATGGATCCCTTCACTCCTTCCATGTACTGCTGTGAAGTTTGCAAGCATGCTGGACTGTAAAAATAAACCCTACTGAGCTTATTCCCTATCCTGAATGCTAATTTCTTCTCATTCGTGGAACAGCCTGGGTTTGATGACTCCCACTAACTCACACTGAGTAGTTTCTCCCTTTCTCTGGTTTTAAAATTCTTTTCTTAGCCAAAAGGTTCAATATCCATACCAATGCAGAAGCTGCACAAGAATAAGGGCTGCTGGAACCATGAATCAGCCTGAGGCTGTTTTAATACACCAGCATCTCTGGGATGCATCCCAAATCCACACATGTGCCAGCACAGCTGGACAGGTCTCACTAGCACTACCTTTGAGCCTTTTTGGTACCCTCAGCTGTGTGGTTGTTGCAGGGCTTGCAGAACCAACCCTTGTTGGTTCTTCCTTGGTTAAAACAACAAAACAATCCCAAACACCTTTTCTGGTTTTTTTCAGCATGGAGGATTCTGTGCAGTTTTGTGTGCTAGTGAGCCATCTCATCCAGACCACACAGATTTATTTTCTATGACACCATAAGTATTTTGTACCAATATATTTATATTACTCTAAAATAAATTTAAATATCCTCCCAAATAGTGGGCCATAGTATTTTTGCCTGAAGCAAAAATGGCAGCAATTTTTGCTTCCTTACCTGAAAAATGTCTGTGTGGGGAAGTGGCAGAATTTGCTTTCAGAGGAGAGGCAACAGACATCAGCTGAACTCTGCAACTGAAGCAGGACTGTAGACAGAATCAAATCTATATTTTGAAGCACTTTGCCAGTGAGCATCCCAATACAAACTGCAAAAACAATAAATTTTGTTCCTTTTTCTACAGAACAGTATTGTTCAGTGCTATTCCTATGCTATGCCAGTAGCCAAATATTTCCCTGTCCTACTGTGTGTGCAAATGTGCTGCATAGGTAGGGGTGCCACAAGCCCCTCTGGAGCCCCTGAAAGATTGTGCAGCACAGCAAAGGCAGGAACAGCAGCTCAGTTTCACTGAGTTTCCTGAATCTGAAGTTACACCACAGGTTTGACCCATTCATAACCCTGTACAAAGATACCTTGTTTAGGTGTATTCATCTTTTCGGGAGCTCGATGAAAATTTTGGTCTTATTAGTTTATTTCAGCCTAGTTTATTTCAGTTTATTTTAACCATTGCAGGTTTTGTTCCATCTAGCTTGCTCTGGTGCTGGATGGCTGGAGATGAATTGCAAGGCATCCATTAACTTGCAGAAGTACCATTACCTCTCTAATTGACAACAGCAATGGTTTTCTGTAGTCCTTGAGCAAGAAAACTGCTCATCACCAAAATGTGCAAAAGTCTTCCCAAACCAGAGATCCCAAATTATCCTTTTCTTCAGAGACTGCTCTATATTACTGCCAGTTTTTGAGATACCTTTACAGCTCTAATCCAGGATTGCTGTGCCACTTGCAAGGGCCAATCCCACTACCACACCCCTCACCATTTTGTCAAGGCTATAAATGAGCAAAATACTCTGCTTGTTGCAAAGCAGGCTAATTCCAAACACAGAGTCAAAAAATTCCTATATTGCCCATTTATCTAGCTAGTGGTATAAACCATCCTCAGACAAAGAAATCTTGGTAATACATATCACAAATTGATCAGTATATCCTAATTTTTTTGAAATGTATTTTTACTTTTACAAGTTTAGCATTAACACCTAATGTTCTGCATTGCTTCAGAATATTCAGCCTCACTGTATTTTTTGGTTTTTTACCACTATGTGGCACTAAATGCATTTTTTTGTTCATTGAGCCTAGAAGTCCATGTATCATAAAATGAAAAGAATCTGTGTTAAGATTAGAAAACAAAAATCAGAAGTGTTCATAAAATGGCAATAAAATGGCAATTTTATGTCTGGACAAATAGCATATGTCCCATCCAGGGCATTTTAGTGATTGCAGTGCAAACAGCAGGAACTGAGGGCCAGGCAGAGGCTCCATCTCCTGAGCTTTTGGAAGGGTTTAGCTTCACCATCCCAATCTCACCCTTGTGAAGGTGTTTCCCCTTACTTGTAACTTGCAAACCCCCTGTGCAATTTATGGCAGCATTGTTCTCCACAGCATTGAAATTGCTTTTATAGCTCTTAAGGAGAATGTTGGTGAAGAGCTCTACCTGCCCTGTGAGCCAAGAGATTCACCTTGTTACTCCATTTTATCAACCAGATCTTTAAAACCACATTATTGAGCAGTGAGAGCTATGACATACCCCTTAATTCTCTCTTGTTTCATAAACTCCCTGCCTCCAGTCCAACACCATTTCACTCACCCATTAATGCCATTTTGTCCATTTTCCTGAAAACCTGTAGGTTTTTTCAGTGCTGGAGGGCTGCTCACAGCAGCGCTGGTCCCAGCAGCCCAAAGCTGCTTTGTAACCTCCCCAGAGGGGTTCTGACTGACCATGATGAGCTCAGGTACCTTTGTCTCCTTGAGGGAGTGCCAGGGCTGCCCCTCACTGTTCTCATTGTTCCTGCAGCCCCAACCCTCAGAACTCTTCACCTTGGTCTTGACCTCCTGGTCCCACATGAGGGGACACCTGCAGAGCTCAAAGCCCCTGCCCAGGAGCTGGATGGATGCTCTGTGCTGCTTTGCTAACCCAGGGGAGCTCTGCCTGTTAAGAGCTACATGAACAGGGGGAAGAAAAGGGGTTCAGGGCTTTTTTTTCTTTTTCCCTACAGATTTTTCAAAAGCTGTAACTCTGTGATGAATATTCATTTCAATGTAGTACTGAAAACTCAACTTGATGACACCTCAGAGAGAAAATGATCCAGGAATAAAAGAAATTAACATATAGCTCCCACCTTACCATAGAACAAAAGTGACTTTTCAGAATATATTATTTAACCTAAAAGCATCTGAACAGAGTCACTTTAGTATCTTTCAATCCATTAATTTTCTTTCTCAGTATTGTTAATTTTCACTATGAACCTACAGTTTATCCAGAATATATTGTGTATTTCCTTCCCTCAGTAAACTTTTGTAACTCAAAGTTCAAGCTACAGAGATGATAGACCTGTTTTAAACCTGCCATTTAATTTCAACTTTTAGGCCTCAACATCTTATGTATGATGAGATAATTTAAGAAACTCTATAGGCAGGTAGGGGAAAAGAAAAGAACATAAGAGAGAGCTTGGAATATATAAACTAGCAGTTGTGGCTTGTGCACATTTGTCCTAGCTAACTGAATGGAAAAAAATATATGGGAAAATATGTTACCAGCAAATGACAATATAGAAAATCATCATTTGTGATGAGTTACAAATTAACCAAGTCTTAAAGGCAGAGGTGAGAAAGTCAGCTAAGCAGCAAATCAGCCAATAGGTATTTTTGTAATACAGAAAAAATATAAATTTATATTAATATCAGATCAATTCTATGGATTAAAATACTCCAGTATCTGCAGTTGCCCTTTTGAAATCTAGTGGGCTACTGTCAACAGTCTTCAATTTTTAAAATGGTGTGTTGAAATCTGATTTCTGAGTGTGCATACAGGAGAAAACAGGCATAATGTTACCTAACCCTTAAGTCACTTATGGCCACTTATGCTGCAGTTTTAGCTGGGAATATTCCTTATTATTTTACCTTAAAGTTCAAGGAAAAAAATTGAAAAAAATTCATCCAGTCAAGTACACTCTTTATGTCCCCAGTGACCCCAGTTTGGGGCTGAACACAGGAAGATTTCTCTCCCCAAACACCCTGAGCATCCTACCCTAGCAACATGCACTTTCAACACTGGACCTGGAGTGTCAAGATCCAGCTTTTCACAAAACACATTTCAGCTGCTGGGTTCCTTACAGGAGGCGGGCAGGGGAGGAGGAGGAGATGTTACCTGTCTTTTATGTAACAGCCTCACTGTGAAATGCTCCTGGAAGAGCTGGGAAATTGTGTTCAAGCCTTCCCTTGAGTGCAACCCACCCACACCAGCTGCGTGCACCAAACAGCAGGAAGCACAGGGCACCTGACAGTGACTCCCTCCATCATGGCAGGTGCTCCTGGGGCTGAGGAGGCCTGGAAAAGGGCATGAGAAGCACCCTGAGCACCCTGGAAAAGGGTGCATGAGAAGCAGCACGTCTCTGGCTTGGTAGATGGAGTACATGGCCAGTCCTGCTGGTGTCTGTGTCCCAGAGACACAGTAAGGGCACATTCTGTATTTTAGTCATTTAATGCAGACTATTTAATACAAAACCCACAGCTGGCATAGTTGAAAAGATGTTTCTTGCCAGTTGAGTTCCCAACCCACTGAACAGTAGAAGTATGATCATTGCTCTGGTGCTCTCTCTTGGACAATGTTCTCTGCAACAGGCTGAAAAGATGACAGCAGAGGATGAGAGGGAGCACCTCCTCCATCATTTTGTCCTCCTCCTTTTCCTTCTCCTCCTTCTCCTTCTCCTTCCTACCCTCATCCTCTTCCCTGAGGGGGAGTCTCCTCCTCCTGCCCTGTGAGGCAGCAGGTGATGTTCACCACCAGCAGAGTGAAAGTCCTGCTGGCACATCTCCCCTGCCTTAACCACTCAGCAGCGCTCAGAGAAGCTTTTAAGTAAAAATTAAAAGCTGACTCCTGCTCAGGTACCTGGAGGGAAGGACTGAGGTCTCTATTTTGCTGAAAAAGGTTCATGACTGCAGCCCAGGGGAGGTTCAGAGCTTGCCTGGCCTCCTCTGGTCCATGCCCCATGCCTGTGTCATAAAGCTCCCCAGCAGATGTGCTCATGCTTTTGGGTCCCTTGCTGAGGCACTTCTCCCACGTGCTGGGAGCAGAGCCCTGGGGCTTAACACAGGTTTCTGCAGTCTGCTCAGATCCACCCACCTAGAAATTAGTCATTCCAGCAGCTAATTGACTATGCTTTTGTACAGCTTTTACAGGCCATTTTCTTCCCCAGAAAAATTCCTTTCTTTTTC